TATCTTGGTGAAATGATTACATGCACTACTTTGTGTTTACATCATGTGTTCAGAGTGTGTGTGTGTGTGTGTGATTGAATGACGGAACAACGAAATTGTTAGCAATTTATACTGCTTTGTAGTTGTTTTCATTGCCCGGAATTCACACTGGTGGTTTAGATTTAGGGTTAAAGGGTCAAGGAACTGACATTGCAAATTGCCTGTAGGTTTACGATCGTTGTAAGATTGCGCAATGACCGAATCTTTTGATGGGCATGAGTGGGAACCAATCACAAGCAAGGTCTGACCAAGGTGAAGTGGGAGGAATAAAAGTTCCCCCTGAATTTAGGGGGAACTTGCCAAGGTGTACTGGACTGTTCTCAGGCTCTGTTTCCGTACGTGCATATTATGGTGTACTAGTAATATGTGAGCGCGCACGGATCAAGTAGAGAACAGTCCAGGCAGTGGACTACGGTCGTTGATGATCCGATCTGCACAAATCTCTATCTCTACTCTATATAGCGTTGGCTCTTGATCTTGCGCTCAAAATTAATACTGCGCGCGAGATATTGCGAGAATTGCACTGACTGTGGAGGTCAGTGGAGAATTGTGGTACGCACGTACCTCGATATCATCAGAGCAGCTGAGAACGAACATGTGTGTTGTATTGTTTTGGTGGCGGGGCGGGGTGGGGGTGATCTTTATTTCATAAAGAGATAGCACTTGTAATTTTAGTCGGTCGGATTGGTAAATCATAAAACATATATATATATATATATATATATATATATATATATATATATAATTATGTATATTTTCTCACTACCATGTTGTATTCTTTTAATCCTTTTTATCTTAATAGAAAAGGAAAACAAATTATAACGATCATCAAGTAAAAATATAATCCATTTTCATCCCTCTATTATATTCCAGAAGAGACATGAAGTATTCAGGGGCGTCGCCAAAGGGGGGGTGTGGGGGGTGCGACCCCGGATATTTATGTCGTCGAGGAAAATTACCCTTTGCGCATACGCAAGTATAGATAATCCACAGGAAAAACAATTTAGCCTTCGGCCCCGGGTTTATAGGGTTAAATTTGTAGATATTGGACATTTAATTTTGTCGGTAATTGGTGGCTAGGTTTGTCGATAATCGTTGGCCTCTACACCCCCCACGGAAAAAGGTCTAGCGACGCCCCTGGCAGTATTGGTTCATTGTCCTCTTTACTGTTACACTATTATTTTTGTTTAAATCCAATTAATGAGAATGATCCTATTTGCTTGGATTTAAATCAATAAAATTTGAATTGAATTGAAATTACTCTCTGTAGTCGAGAAAGATTGGTGTAGCCATAGGGGAAAGGGGGAGGGGGCGGGGGCTTGCTTAATACAGGCTCGATCTGTATTAAATAAAGAGAAAACAAAGCTATAATTTCAGTCGGACGTATCATAGAAAGAGTAAGGAAATGTGATTGGCTTAGGCACCAAGCCGTTGGGGAGGGGGGGGGGGGGCAGGGGGTATTGTCTTTTTTCTTCTCTCTCTCCGTCTATATATTATATCTTATGCTTTATAATGGGGGTATTGTCAATAATTGAGGGGAGAAATATATAACTGTTTATTTTGTTTTCCTTTTTAATAATATTTTTTCCCTTCCCTCTCTCTCTCTTTATATTTCATAGGGGGTTGTCAATAATTGTTGAGGGGTTCAATTTGGAGAAATATACATTTGTTTATTCATTTTCCTTTTTTATAAAATATTTTTGAAATCATGATTGTTTATTCTTCTCTCTTGTTTTTATAATAATGTCTATATTTGGGTTTACATTAGAGAAATATATAATTGTGTTTGATTTTATTTTTTAATTGAATATTTCTTCAATGATTTCTGTCTCTTTCTTTATCGTTTTCTCATAGGGGCATTGTTAAACAATTTTTTTTTCTCTCTCTTGTTTTCTTATGGGGGGAGGGGGCTATTGTTGCCCAAAATGCTTTTTATTTTATTTTCTTCTCTATCTCTCTCTCTTTTTTCTCATATTTTGTCTGTTTTTATTTATTATAGGGGGTTAATTATTGTCAATGCCTCCATGGTTGTTCTTTTTTCTTACCTTTATTTTTGTAAATGCCTTGTACGCAGGGTTGAATTATTGCATAATTTTTTTTATTTTTTAGAAGGATTAAAGGCAAAAATATATATTTGTTTACTTGGCTTTCCTTTTGATAATTTAACGAAAAAAATTATGACCTACTTTTTTTGTTTTAACTTGATAAAATATTTTGGGGGTAATTTTAATGGTTGAGAATGAGAATGGGTACTAATAATTGATTAATACATCTTTATTTTATTTAGGGAAACAGTTCCTCCCTTTTCCCCTTCTATATTTTTTTTTTGTGGGGGAGGGGATGGTTGTGATTGCGAAAAATAAACTTTTAGTTTCGTTTTCTTTTTTGATAAAAGAAACACCGTAAAATTTGTTTCTTGAAAGGGGTAGGGTTTACGAATCAGTGAGTTTAAAAGATATTTATTTTCCTTTTATTTGGTGGGTGTAGAGATGATTAAATCTTCTTATATAAATTATGCTCAAATCTTCTTTTTTTAATTCTCAAACAACATAATAAGAGCTACAAATTTAGAGACAAGGTCATAATTGCATATCTCCAATATTTACATGTGAATGTCAAAGGATGATCGTGTCGTACGATAATCACATGAGCTCTGGAATGCTTGAAAGAAGATAAAAACTGTGGCAAACTACGTTTATATCAATCATCACAAAAGGTATTTTATTAACTGAACCATTTTGCCAATACTATAAAAAGTATTAAGGAAAACTGTGCAGTTTACAAGTTGTTTAATTCCGAAACACAACACAATTTTTTACTATGAGATATTATCAGCGTAAAGTTTTTAACTATATAGAACACAGGTAAGAATTGTTTCACTATAATTCTGTTTTATTTCCTTATATTTTTAATCGGATTTCAACACTTTTCTCCACATTATTTCTAAATAAAAGGAAAATGATAGTATTAAGTGCTGCATTTCTATTTGCATAATCTTGATACTGTGACCATACTTTCCAATTGCTGGACAAACTTGCATTTATCTCATGGTGGATTGTTGCATTTACCTGTTTTTCATAAAATCTCTGCTCTAATTATTCAATTTTTGTTATCTTGCTCATCAACACAATGGAACAAAAATTAAACCAAAGCAAAAGATAAAAGCAAGAAACAATGAAAACCCCCTCAAACAAAACTATGAGAGTGAATAAAATAAAATAATATTTCTTTCTGAGATGTAAATAACATAAAGCTAGTGAACATTGTTAAACAGACATATATTATACAGTGTGTCCCAGAAAAAACAAAACCAAGATTATCGATGTTTTATCATAACTTAATCACACTTAAAATTAATAACTGACACATATTTGTAAAGATTAGATCCTCCTCTTTCATTGGATGCAACTCATATGATGCATATTTCACATATGAATTTAAAAACAATTTGAAGAGAGGGTACCAAAAAGTCTTTTGGGGGGGTGATATCTGAATTCCAAAGAGAAAATCAGATTTCCAGAAAGTTCATTTTCTGTCCTTTCATATGACACCTCAATCAGGAAAAATGAGCCAGACATAACAAAGTTATGTTTGTTTAAAGAGAAGGTTGAGTTCTGGGAAGAGGTGAAAAATAATTTGTGAGCGTTATCATTCTTATTATGCGAGTGTGGAACAACATCAGATAAGACATGTTCTCTGAAAAGCATAGCTCTTCAAATGCCTTCATATTCTAAATATGTCATGTAACATCATAAAACTTGGGGGTGGGATTTTTACGCCACGTGTTCGTGTAGTCCCGTATACATCTTTCTGTGTACAGTGTTTGTAAATTTACCAAGACTTGGGCACATTTCTTATCATTTTGATGATTCCAGAACCTTGCAGTACACACCAATTCTTATATGCTAGATGATCAACCTTTTCTGGTCGATTCCACACCGTTTCTTTCACAATGCAATCGCATGACCAGAACTCAACTTCATCTTTAAAGTAATGCTTGTCGTAGCAACAAACAGAGTTGACAAAAGACTTAACTCTGTTTCGCTGACAATCAGCCATGCACTAAGAGGACGAAAGACTTGATGCGTGGCTGATCGTCAACGAAACAGATTTTGCAAGGAAATTGCAAAATATGCAAATTATGCAAGGTAACTCGCTTACTTTCTAGACTTCACTGTCAGACATTATTGAGTGACTGACTGACATCTTTTTTCTTTGGTAATAACATACATCAAAATAAACTGTAACAGGTACATACATGTAAGCATTTGTCTACATCAATAACCCACTACTTGTAATGGCCAAAATTAAACTGATTGAATCTTCATGCAGCACCAAAACGTACAACCATTCGGTAAAAGGGTCTGAAAATCAGACTATTACTTAAGAGATTGCAATCACTTAAGTCAATTTGACAACTAATTGTTGTTATTTTTCAACTAAAAGCCCTTTCGTTTTGAAGGACGTTCTAAATTAGTTTTGTCTTTCAAATGCCGTAGGAATTTAGCCTTTCATTCTTTGGTCCGCAAATTGGATATAGTACCTTTAAGGATTCGTACAGTAGATGGAATAATGATAATAATAATATAATGCTTTTATATAGCGCTTAATACATTGATGATGTCTCTTAAGCACTTTAGAGATATATCATTACCTCGGTCATCGGATTCAGTCTTGCCCGCACACAGTGTATGCAAATTTCTCCACTCCCTGGGATTCCAGCCAGGCGTCATTTAAGTGTACACTTGCTCATCTAACAACATTAACTTTCGCATCCTACCGGGTACGTGTTTAACACCTGGATGGAGAGTGGCAAATGTAGATTTACCTCTTGCCAAAGGAAATTTGTGCCACGTCGGGACTCAAACCCTGTACCTTGTGATCTGCAGTCGGATGACTTATCCACTAGACCACAACACCTACATGTATACATGTAATAAGTAACACCTCACATGAAAATCTACAATGTTACCAGTTCACTTTATTGTCTTTTTCTGTCTGTTTTGGTTTATTACACTATATTTCCTCAGGCACTGAGTGGTTTGACTGTGAAGTGGATTTTCAAATAACCCCCGAGTATTTCATGTGGAAGGAGAAGGAGGCCAAACTATACAAAGGGTTCATTGAGGTCGTAAATAGAGAGAAAGGATGGGGCATCGCCGAATACTGCTACCAGTGGGTATCAAATGCAAATTTCACCCCTATTCTTATAAATGCGTTTGTGATTTATATGATATTTTCTTTTGTACTTGTATACAAGGAAGCTAAGTTTTACTTCGCTGTGACTTGCCTGCAAAAAAAAATCAAATCTGAACATAACTCCCTTCTCAATGGAACTGTATTTTCTACAAGCAGAGGTGAACGTTGCAATATTATTATTGTATTCTTTTTTTCTATATTGGCCAAATGAATAATAATAATAACAATAAGCACTTAACTGAAAAACTATTTTATTTTGATTAATTTTATTTTCTTTAAACTATGTACTTGAATATCAGGAAGCTAAGTTTCACCTCACTTTGATTGAAGAAATTGCCTTAAAAAATACATCAAATCTGGACATCACTTCTTTCCAAATCTTATTTATTATCTGAAAGGGACGGAAATTGATGTAAAAAAAGTGTTTCTAAGGCCAAATAGATGAATACAATGCTAATTGTACAATTACAAAATAGTCTAAAAGTATGAGTGAAAACAGAGCATTATAAACCATAAAAATGAAGGAAACCTGAACTGATTGATTTGTAAATTCTCCTTACTACATTAAAATAATTAAAAAAAACTTCACATGAATGTAAACTGCACAAAGCAATGTACTTGCTGTATACCATTCAAAAGCGCTTCCTAATTTCGAGGAAAATCCATGGGTAATACTTGTGTTCGTTGATTGATACATGTAGGCACATTTTATCATGTCTAAAAAGAGCAGCTAGGCCAGGTTCGTTAGGAGCTACACAGGATACAGGTGCGCAATCTGCAGCCACAGCTGGTAGAATGCCGAGTCGCCAAAGCGCTGGAACCACATGAACTCCTTGAGGTAGTCTCCGAACGAGTTGCGTTTGGTTGATCTATGTGACGCTTTAAACTTAGCCTTTGCCCGGGCCCACATAGTGCACACCCCCTTCGCAGGATCCATGAAATGCACCGTGTGGTTCACAGTCCTGTGTATGTCTCCCAGGCCTGGCTGGTTCCCAAGATGGGCATATGCACCCCGCAGGTCAGTCCATATTACTGAGCCTGGGGCTACCCAATGCTCAATGATAGGAAGAAGTGTGGCAGCATCACGGCTTGGAACCTCCACCATGAAGCCTATCTTTCGTGCTTGCTCGTATCCGCCGAGCACCCATCTTTGTTGCCTCTGGCGTCCTACGCTTTTCTTGCGCTGTGTAAACATTGATTCATAGACCTCGACCACCTTGCCCGGTCCGCCAATCTGCTCGTGTTGGTTGGCAAAGTACTGGACGCAAACGTCCCTGAGGAAATGTTTCCAGTCGACGACCACACTTGACGATGTGCAGATGTCTCGCATGATGCTTTGCTGCGTAGGCCCCTGTGCCCTCCTTCCGCTGGAAGCCCAGATGTGTGACAACCCTATAATCTGCCAGAGCTCAAGGTGTGAAGATTCAAAAAAGCTTCCCTTTCGTAAGTTTACAATTTTTCGACACTTGGTGTTCCTGCATCGCCATACCACTTTGTCAATGCATCTTTCCCGCCTCGCCTCCTTGCATCTGTCGTCACAGTTGGGACAAGTCATTTGAGTTGACAACAAGCCATGCTCCCTGCACCAGGCAATGGTAGCATCCCGTCTCGGGGTTTGGTCGGGGAATGTGAAGAACATGCTTCCGAGTTCAAAAATGTTGGGCTGAAATGGAAGAGAACCACACATTGCATAAAGAACAAATAATTCTCCATACCAAGATAAAAGAGGGAAAAATAAAGGGGAACAAATAGACATTGGTCTTTTTATAATCAAGTATATCTGCATGATCTGTTTGATCTAACATCGAATGAATATCAATTCCTGTTACCGCTGTTGTATCACAAGTGGTAACGATGACATAGAAAAAATTATTTTCACAAATAATCAAACGACAATACAAAGACAGGAAATTTACAAGTCACGTTATTGTTTACAAAGACAAATCGAACTACTTATACTACTATTTGTAGTACACTTTACAAGGCAGTTACAAGATAAGTCATAACAAGAGCACGAAACCTGCCATCAAAAGAGAGACAATGGGTAAACACTCTAAAATAAAAAGCAATATTATCATTCATCATCATTTAGTCTCTTATTACTTTGATTCAGTAAAAAAAAAATACTATGCATTCGCTCGGAATGGATGGTCATAATGCAAACACATTATTACCATCTTTACCAACTTACGCTTGCTCTTTTGAGACACTGCTTGAAGCGGCACTTCTGTCTCATTTTGATTGGTCCTCCCAATTTCTTCATGTCCTGTTCAGAGTTAAAACATGCACTGGATATTTACATAGTACGAGCCAAAGTCTGATTTGGGTGATAATTTTTTTTTGGACAGAATACCAGTCTGGAACAACATTGGGCTGAAATGGAAGAGAACCACACACTGAGTGATTTCAAGTTGGGTATTTAGGGCTGGTGTTAGTGTTTAATAAACACTGACATCAGTCCTAAACATCAAAATGGAAATCAGCTGGTGTTAAGGCTTTGACCTCTGAATATCATCAATTTCCGGTAGCTAGTGTTATCGATTTTGCAAAATTGTCATCTGCTGAACCGATTTTGTAGCTGGTGTTAATATTTTATGTACAAATGTCCTATTCACTAACACTAGCCTCTAGGGATTACTGTAAGCAAATATTGATTTCCAGTTCGGTGTTAGTGTTGTACCCGCACAATTGTCTGACGATCAAATAAAAATATGTGAAACAGGTCCTTTACTATGTGATTCATACATTCTTTTGCGTAAAAATTAGTTATTAGACCAGAAAAATAAGTGTAAATTTATTCTGTGCTTTTTACGATATCTTTAGTAATTGATGTAGATTTAAATCATCGTCGTGAAATCAAGTCTGTGTGGCGATGTCACAGTGCCAGGGCTAGGGGCGTTGTTAAGCTATTGATATTGATATCGGTATCGGGCTCTTAATTTCATCAGCAAATTTTTAGCTCGATTTAACAGCTCTTGACTGCTCTAAACACTAACACTAACACCCAACTTGAAATCATTCATTGTATGAAGAACTAATAATCCTCCATACCAAGATAAAAGGGGGAAAATAAAAGAGTGCAAATAATCCTCCATACCAAGATAAAAGGGGGAAAAATAAAAGAGTGCAAATAGACGTTGATCTTTTAATAATCAAGTATATCTCCATGATCTGTTTGATCTAACATCGAAAGAATATCAATTCCTGTAACTGCTATATAGTCAAACCTGCTTTAGTGACCACCTGTCTACAAAGACCACATTTTTTGTTCCCCTTGAAAATGGTTATTCATTGAAACATGAACTAAAGGAACCTGTACATAAACACCACCTGCCTATGAAGACCCTTTTTCTTGTCTTCCTTGGGTGGTTTTTATAGACAGGTTTTACTGTATTGTATCAAAAGTGGTAACGATAACATGGAAATATCCAATTTCACAAATAATCAAAAGACTAGTTTTAACGTTAACAAATGAATACAATACAAAGACAGAAAACTTACAAGTCACATTAGGTGTTTAAAAAGACAAATCGAACTACTTATATTTCTGTTTGTGGTTCATTTTACATGCAGTTAAAAGATACCGGTAAGTCATAACTAGAACATGAAACCTGTCATCCTAATTTTAATTTAAATCTTGATACGTTATCTTTTGTCTGTTTTTCCTTACTTTTCTTTTCAACAAAAAAAAATTGCCACTTATTTTACATCACTATAACAATATATATTGCCGATAAGAAAAAGTCTTACCATGCAAAAGACACACTGTCCACAATCGTCATTCCTTTTGCAAGCCTCGCATTCACCACACCTTCTGTTGGCTCGCTGAAGAAATGAAGAAAGTAAAGCAAGATAATAATGATCTTATTGTCATTTTATTTCATGGTGGGCATGGAAAATTAGAACAAGAGATAAACTGACTCAAAGAAACACAAATAATCATGCCATAAATTGAACTAGATGGATGTTCGACTGCACGCAGTCGAAAATGATGCCTCCACCATAGAGCGATTTTACAAACCAAAACAGAAGCAATCCATTATCAGGTTCTCAAAATATCGTGATTACTAGCTATTGTTCATACACATGTATGACCCTTTGAACTTTGACCTCATGACCCTAAAAACTTATCAGTCCATTGGCTCTGCAAGATACATACATGTCCCGAGTTTCATAGTAATCCATCCGTTAGTATTGACAATGCGTTCAAAAGCTATTTTTGCATACATAATGAGCCCCATGACCTTTGACCTCATGACCCCAAAATCTAATCAGTTCATTGGCTCTGCAAGATACATATATAACCCAAGTTTGGCGGTAATCCATCAAACGGTTCTTAAAGATAACGTGATCACAAGAACGGGATGTACAGACGTACGTACAACCAGAAAACATAATGCCTCTGGCTACTTTGTAGCGGAGGCATAACAAGTAATGATAATATTGTATATTTATAACTTCCGGTTGACAAAGTTGCCAAAAAGACTTGTTTCAAATCTTAATTAGCCTTTTTTTAAAACAGCTCTCCTATCATGCATGTTGTTACCAATTCCTGGGTACTCTGGAATGATAAATCCTTCACTAAAGCATTCCTTTTTTTATCATAGCAAATGAAGAAGTAGGAACATTGCAGTATAAGAGATCTTATCCAAAGGCTCGTTCACACATGTATAATGGAATAATGCACTTTACATTTTGGTATATTTTATATCATACTGGTAGTAAGTGTGTGTTTCATTCATCACCATTTACCAGTCATTTTCACATCAAAAATTAGTTATTAAAAAGCCAGGCACAGGGTATTGAAAAAAACATGACTGACTCAGGGGAAAAAATACTTTGGGGCTCGAGTCAAATTCGCCCCAGAAATGCCCAAAAGAGCCCCCGAAAGTCATAAAAGAGCCCAAAAAATTGGCATAGAATTCAATGCAAAACAAATTAAATCGTGTTATTTTCATGCAAGCAAGCTTGAAAAGAAGCCCCTGAAATTGTTCAAATATTTTTTTTCCCTGGACTGACTGATACACCATCATCTTACCTGTGCTGCCTTAGTGAGTTTCAGAGCATGTGTTGCAGGTGAGTAATCTCCTGATGCATCGGCCTCTGAAGCCCCCGTTTTCTCCCCACTCCCAATACCCTTCTTCTCCTTCGTCTTCATCATCTTCAGCTTCTTAGACCTCATCTTCTTTACCCCCTCCTTCTTCATTTTCATCTTCTTCTCTTTCAAAAACTGTTTCCTTGTCTTTGTGATCTTCTTCTCACTTGGCTTGTCCAATTTTGTCTTTTCTTTCTTCTCCTTCCTTTCCTTGTTGATAACTGACAGACTAGGTGTTTTTTCTAAAAAAGAAAAAAAAAATGCAATTAAAAAAAAATCATGAGTACAATCACTTCTCTACATTAATGGTATGATGATTACTATAAATATGAATAGTATGAGTATTAGCAAACATTTCTTATCCACACCAACATTTCAAACACAATGAAATACATAAGAATTGTAACAGAAAATACATAACATGCCACTTGATGCAATATGTATAACAGGGCATTGTAAATATATGATAAATTCTACGGAGTATGTTTCTTTAAAGCAGGATTGGTTGCTGCTTTTTTGTAAGCAATCTCAAACTGTTGCCCTCCCTATATATAATTTCTTAGTTTAGCCCATACAATATTTAGGTTGTACATACAGAGTTGATGACACATTTAAAACCATGAAACCTAAATACGAACACATCACATCAGCCAGTGACTTATCATGGAAACGGCTGAAAATCTGAGAGGAGAAATCTATTTTGATTTTGTTTAGCTATCTATACATGGGAATGGTTTACAGGTTAATAGAACAAATATCTTGTTAACAATTCTGGAAGTCTACACACACCTCCACTTGGTGGGCAGGCAGACTTGAGGATGAACTTAGCAGCTGGTTCCTCCACACCAACACATTTTTCTTCACAATGATCACATGCTCTGGGGATAGATATTGGGGGGAAAAGTGTTGCAATTAGAAGGAACAGATGGATTAGATTTCCAATTAAAATGTCTTGCTCTGCTTCATTTACTATGTTAACTATTGTTCTGAATTAGTGTTTATAAAACAACATTCGATCCTCTGTTAATCTGTGCTTAATCATATGTTAAACCTTGTGTATTCACTGTTAATGTCTACATTTTTGTAAATACATTAGTAAATGTTAATCTGTATATGTTACACCAGTGAAAATCAAATATCCAGAAATGGACAATAAATACTAAATTGAATTGAATTGAATTTTAAAAATCTGAAGCATCGAACGCTGCAGTGTCAGTTGAAGCCCGAAAGGATCAACATAGAGATGTATGATCTATTTGAGTTGGATATATGTTGTTCCCTTTTTGTTGTTCTTCTTTAAAACTCCAAAATGATGACAAATAAAAGTTGTAAAAGAAAGTTTCACTTAAAGTGTATCACAGACTCAAAGACCTAGTTTGATGGAATAAGTTGTGAGTTGTTACGTACTGTATCACCTAAGACTTAAAGAACTTTAAGACAATTTCACTGATACTACATTTTCAAAACCAGAAATGGTCATCAATGATCAATAATATGTTACATGTACTAATTACTCCTTCAACTCCTTCCTTTCTGCCTTCAAATGATATATTGTAAAGTAAGAAACATGTTCTTACACAATGACCTGTGAACAGTCTGAGCTCCTGCAGCGGCAGTAAGCCAGAGGCTCTCCATTATCATCCAGGAAGTGTCCCCCTGGTCCACTTTCAATGGCTCGTTTGTCTGTCATGATGACCTTCTCTTTATGTGTGTCCTTATCCTTCTCTGTCTTCTCTACAATAATGTCCTGTCTCTCTGGTAGGTTGGCGAAGCCCATTGAAGAGAATGAACGTCGACTAGAGTCCTCATCATCCTGCAAAGAAAAAGAAAAAGAAATAAAGGTGAATGTCATTATCAACATATTATTGACACATACAATCCTGCTTTATTGACCACCTGTATAGAAAGACGAACGGTACATACATGTACATGTACCTATAAATACAGAATTTGTTTCCCTTAAGACTTGAACTGGAAAAGCAAACTGAAGCATCTATGTGCGTAGATACATGTATATGGTCAAACAAAATCATACACAGGGATAAACTAAACAGGTTAAAAAGTAAAAAAGAAATGAATAACGACTAAAAGTATACGTTATTGGCATCTGTCAGTCATAAATATTTCAACATTTCATCTGCTTCTTTGTGACATCTAAGACTAACAGTAGACCCTATCTACACCATACCAGTTAAGATTAATAACGTAGGAAAAGATATAAATCTTCTCATTCTTTTGTTCATTTTGAAAGGGCTATGCAGCCTATCATGAAGATCTGTAGAAAGATTACCAGTGAGTTGCGAGAACTTCTACTTCTACTTCTACGACGATACTCAGCAGGATCCATATTGAGGATGTAGTCAGTAGACCTAGAGTCTAGTGTAGTGTATTAACCTGCACACTGTAGGGTATGAATCTCCTATACACGGAGCCTGTGGTGTGACGTAATATTACGTATTTACTTTGCCATTGAACTTAAGTTGAACTTAAGTTAAGTAGGCCCTCTCTCACTTAAATTTGAAGCGACTCAGCCAATGAAAGTGCGCAAACTTACTGTACAGCGCTCAATGTGCAAAGTTCTTCGTGAAGTGAGGGTATAATAATGTGCAGGGTATTCTGCAGTTGTTCCGGCACTTATTTTCAATCATATTTGTCTAGAGATCAAGACTAGACTCGAGTCTTCCATTTTCTAAAGATAATCTAAATCTAAAACATAAAACCTACACAGATTCTAGCAGGTGGGCACGTACAAAGGTAAATGGATCACTCGCATGTGCACACAAAAGTAAAAAATGAATGGGGGAAATATTTAAATTGTTCAGAACTTCAGTGAACCTGAGATTATCGACTCTCATGTAAAGTAGCTTTATAAACTTACACTTGTTTCTTCCATTGTCACTGAATCTTCAATTTCCTATTCCCTGTGCTTTCTGTAAGAATGGTCCAAATCGGTGACACTGAAGCTGACGACGGTCGGTCTTATCTGCACAAATCTCGATCTTGCTTCAAATTTAGCGCCCGAGATATTGCGAGAATTACGGTACGCACGTCAATATCATCAGCGCCAGTGAGAAGGAACTTATGACTTTGTGCAGTAAGATAACTCAATTTTTCAAAATTTCAAAATTTAAATTGATATTAGAAAAAATGTAATGTATTTGCTTCTGTGAAATTTAGGGCTTAGATGGACTATGTGTTGAATGCTGTTCTGTTTTCATGCTTTCTTCTTTCCCCTTCTCGCGCGCGATCGCGCGACGCCGAACGAAGGCAACCCGGCCCGCCACAACATGGGCATAGGCCTATACTATGCATGGCGAGGAAGGTGGCCGTGGGAGAGGTCGAGAGCGAGAGAGAGCTAGCGCTACTAATCACTATAGAGCTAGAGTAGCTTTGTAGTTGTATAAAGTTAGGCTACCATGTGTTGCTGTTGATCACTTCCGAATGGTCAGCTGGTGTGTGTGTGTGTGTGTGTGTGTATTGGGTTTTTAAAAGACGTGTATCAATCAGATAGTAATAGTATGTCTGGGCAGCGTTTCTCGAAACCGTCATAACTACAAGTTCACCGACATCCCATTGAAACGTGTGTTAAACTTAATACACACATTACAATGGGATGTCAGCCAACTTGTACTTATGACGGTTTCGTGAGACGCTGCCCCGGGGCCTGGCCTGGACTGGGAGCGCTTGTTCAGAAACCTATCCAAAATTTGACCCATGGCATACTGGGGCCCGTTCCTACAAATCGTCATAAGTCTAACTTCTTGACTAAATCAGCGTTAGTGAACAACTTGTCCGCTACGTGTTTCACCAAGCCTTCTTTGCCAAGATCAACGACAACATCCTGACTAAGGAGTTATGACACCTCTGACACCGTCGTATCTCTGTCATAACTATTTAGTCGATGGGCAGCGCCATCACATGTCATTTATTGGGTAGACTATGGCTGGCAAAAAAGGACAATAAATCCTCCAACTATGATTTTTCTACACATTCACTTAAACAGTGAATTATCGTTTTTTGTATTTGATAATCTCATGAAAATATGCCATGTTTGTATTTAAGGATTTTTCCACTTAAATAAACTGATTATACGCCTTTATTTCCACATTGTAAACTCGTTGAAGGGATATGTATTTTGCCACGGCAGGCAAGCCATAGTTTGAAGTGTATTCTTTAGTTTTCAGACCCATATTAATTTCGAGATGAATTTTATTTTCAATTATGCAAAGTGAATGGTTTAAACATATGTTTTAACGTTTGAAATATTGAAGTTTTGTAATTTTTATATTGTGCTGACGCCAAAAACATTGAACACAAATTTCATTACATCGTATTTTTTCAAACAATAATATAAGGGTGTATTTTTATAAACTATCAAATGAAAATATTCGGGGGGTGCCCATCTCAACAACAAAACTGATTCACTGGTCATGTAATGAAAAACTCACAATTATATTTTACAAGTACTTCAATTGTTTAATCTACACAAATTTGGAAGTATATTGGATCTCTTATTTCTTGGTATCATTTTTAATCTTTTTTATTACTAATTCATTTAAATAGTTGCATTTTCCCTAATATTAATTTTGTAATAATCTGGTGGTATTGCGACTAAGGCTAATTCTCGGCTCCTCTTCTCGCCGATAATATCGATCTCACGAGATACTAGCTAGTAAGCTCTTCGTGAAACGGTTTAGGAAGATCAGAGACATCTCCGTAGTTGGCGGATAAAGTTATGACTGTCTTGTCGTTGGTTTCTAGGAACGAGCCCCTGTAGGTAAGTAACTCCGGCGTGGAGATACCCTAATAGGTCTACTAAAACTTACCCAAAATGAAGTAAATATTCATTAAATGTCTAAATAAAGATCATGAGTTAAAAGTTGTTACGTTTATTACCTGTTTTGTGTCAATTTTCTTGTTATTTTTGGAGTATTTTTCGGAAAAACGTTATTAATAGTCTATACACTTTTTCACAGGTTTTACTGCAAACCGCTGCACAATACAAGTGCATACCAATGGTGGGTTGCGGGCGGCGCCTGCCTGTGTGAAGTTATCTACCATAATGAGGATCTGAGACATTACGGTAGATAACTTCACACAGATTAATTCCTGGCTTGGAAACTCTGTGCGTCTGTGCTTCGCTGGTCCACACTGCTTGGGGATGCACGAAGAACTTTGGGCTTTGAGCGCTGTACAGTGAGTTTACGCGCTCCAATTGGCCGAAACTTGAGTGGCTTTGATTTATGTGAGAGAGGGCCTAGATCTAAACGTCAATTCATAATTCATGTCATGCACTTCACACATGAAATTGCGCACACATAAAATAGAAAAATAAAAAAACACTTCAGAATGAATTTCCAGTTTGTACCTTAAATATGACGAAAATGGGAATTGTTCAAACTTTAAAATAGTTATGTAAAAATACTGCGTTGATGACTGTCCTGTTGGCTGTCCGAGCATTCATTACCACAACTGCACTCTTAGCAGGATTGATTTTATAACGCCACACTCTTGTGTACCCTTGGGTTGCCGTGATCATCTCTTGTATATAGCTGTGATGGTGTGCTGCAGATCAAGGCGACATCGTAGACGAGTACCATGACACCGGAGTAGTGTCCGTTGATCATGGATACTAGCTGGCTATCTCTGAGCTTCTTGATAAGACCATCAATGAACAGTGTATAAAGCGTGGGAGAAAGGAATCCACTGTCTCCATCTTGACGGACACCCTGTTGGATTTGGATTGTTCGTGTGACCCTTCCATCCCAGAGGACTTGGCTTTTCATTCCGTTATAAATTGTAGAGGTTGTGAATGATGGGCTGGATATCCAGATCAGCTTCAGATTTCCTTAGTTTGTGGAGTAAGCCAAGGTGCCATACTTTATCAAACGCTTTCTCTGCATCCAGGAAGCAAATGTACAAGGGTCTCTTTTTAGCTCCTGTGATCTCAACTATGAGTTGAAGGCACAATGCAGTCAGTAGACATGAGAAGCCTTTGCGAAATCCAAACTGCAGTTGGTCGAGGATGTCTTTGATGGACAGCTGTGACAGCTTCGGATGCACATGCGTTGTGTCGGAGCGGAGAGCAGCTAGACATGACATTGCATTGTCACTTTAAAGCTCGAGATGACATCTTAAGTACAAGATATATGTATGTAGTCATGTTTATACAAAAAGTGTCCCCAACTTGAATGTTCTTGTACCCTTTTAAGTAAAGGATAATGAAAGCATACAATTTGATGATAATAACTATTTAAAAAAAGAGAACAAGAACTACCAATTCATGGGGATTGCCCAAAATAAATATCAATTGATGTTTGTGGGCTCTCCCCATTGGCTGTTTAAATAAATGTCACCAGAATAATAACAAGAACCAATATTTTTGTAAATTCTTTTAGGAACATGAGTGGAACTGTCTTAGAAGTGGTTCACATGAAAGTAGAGGAGGAGGGTGAGGAGCATATAGAAGCAGCCCACCTTGAGCAGTCCTCTCGCCCAGAGCGCTCCTGCACCAGGAAAGAATATCTTGATAATATGGATACAATAGGTAAGTATGACTAAGAGTGCACCATGTCATGTTTATGGATCTCCTTAAAGAGACAGTTGAAATGAATTGTCACAGGTATTTACCAATTTCACGCTGAGCAAATTGGAAGAAATATGAAATACGTATATTGAGAGAGGGAATATTAAGAATTGAAAATTTGTGTATGTGTATTCTTGCTTCAGGGTACAGTGGGGAAAACAAATATTTTGTTACATTAAAACAACAATCCCCTCATATGCTATTTCTCTTTTAACTGTGAATTTGTGTCAAACTATGAACTAATTAACACCCGCCTATTAATTCATTTAAATTTCTTCTAAATCTCGAAATCACAATTGCCAGTGAGTTCACAAGTTACTATAAAATACCATCAATTAATATCTAATTAGAAATGCATGATTCTGTGTAACGAATTTGCTTGGATGTGTGATGAAGATCCCTCCTTTTTTCTTTTTTTTTTACGTCAGTCGAGAAACAGTGTGTTGATGAAGAGCTGATTGAAGAGGTCAAGAAGAATTCCTGTATCTATGATCCCTCACACATGTATGCCAGAGATTCCTTCCTAAAAGAGACTACTTGGAGGGAGATCGCATCAACCCTTAATGTTAGCAGTAAGTATAACAAGTTCAATATATAGCAGCTTATAATTTAACAATTTAGTCTAAATAATGCTGTGTGAAAAATACCCACAATGGTTTTTTTCCCCCATCTTTTCAAAATGTAGACCAAATAGATGAAATTGTGAAGTTGAAGTTTAAAAAGTTTTTGGTAGGGGCCTACCTTTAAAAGTCACCTTGACAACTTGCTTTCTTTTTTCTTTTGCTAAAGTTAAACAGATAAGGATTCAGTTCATTGTTCTGATCTGATTTTTTTTTAGATTAAAAAAATATCTTTATTGATAAACATGTTTATTTTCGAACAAAAGTAGGCAAAGCAACTCTTGACAGAAAAATTTAAAGTAATGTCCATTGGAGGTCATTGAAAACTATAAGTTCTCTCTTGAGAGAAGCTTCTCACAACTTTTGTAAAGTAAGTTCCATTCCATCTATCTGTGGGAGCATCTTCACGACAGATGCATTCTTGTTCTAAATTTGCAGCGGAGTATTGCAAGCTACGATGGAAGAGCCTGAGAGATCGCTTTGTGAAAACAGAGAAAGAGGAGAGGAGAAGGAGAGAAAGCGGTATCCACAAGCTTGTGAAACCATACAGATTTGCAGGACACCTGTCTTTCCTGAGAGACTACACAAGAGAAAGAAGACCTGGTTTCCTTAACTACCGGTATGAATAGGAATCTTGCAAGTGGGATGATTAAACATTTGCTCCGATGACAGTTGCTTCAGGGCTTTATTTCATCAAAAGTGTAGGGTTAGGGTTAAAAGTAAAGACCAGTTTTGGCAACACCCCCCTCTCAAAAAATGAAATAGAAGCTCTTATTACCAATCATGTGAAAGAATATGTTCTGACTAATACATGATCATACAAATTTGCAGAGAAACCGCCTACTATTTGGTAAACTATTATATCTATTTAGACCTGATAGATATAACGCATGTGTCGCACACATGTGCGTAGTCCCATATACATCTTTCTATGTACATTGCTTGTAACTTTACTAAGACTGGGCCAAATTTCTTATCATTTTGATGATTCCAGAGCCTTGCAGTACACACCAATACTTATATGCTAGACGATCAACCTTTTCTGATCGATTCCACAACGTTTCTTTCACAATGCAATCGCATGACCCTAACTGGTCTTTCTCTTTACGGATGCAATCAGGTTTTAGGTTAGGTATAGGATAATGGTAAAGAGCGGTCGTTGCTGGTGCAAGTGTTGTTCAACCTGCAAGTGCAAGATACCCTAGGTGCTAACTCCAAAAGTGGGGGGTTCAGGATAAACATACTAACATAACATTCTTCTAGACAAGGGTATAGTCAAGAGTAATAGATATGTCAGTGCCTACTTCCAACCAGAAAAATCGCTTTGGGTCCCCTGAATCGACCCTTGAATGTTATAAGACCGTATTTAAGTCAATGAACACATTTCTGCCAAGAAACCTGGGTATACAGTAATAAACAGCAATCAAATCATTGTATCTCTGTACGTGTAATATGGATATCAACTTATCTGTATATATTTGACATACATTTGACATATTTTTGTATGCTAGCAGCGACATACATTCAGTTCACATTGGTTTTATTCTAGCAATTGATTAGCTTTTTATACAGGCTGTCAAAGAAGGCTCGTATCCCATTTTCTAGGGAAATTATAGTGTGTTTTTTGTGCACTGTATTTCGTTTAGTTCATTGTTTATTTGTTTGATTTTGGCATTCTGTTTAACTACCTGGTAAATATGTCAAGAATGTTGATGATAGTTCCTAGTATTCCTAAATCAACATGTATGTGCTTCTTTTCAGAGACCAGCAACCACTTGTTACATATGTCAAAGATGTTCATGATGAAGAGCAGAGTACATTTGCTGAGGACGTAAGAGACGATGATGAAGACAGGGAGATCATTGAAGCTGTAGAACAAGGGTGGGCTACAGCCGATGGTTACATCTCATCTGCTTCCTCTCATCATACCAACAGTAATAACATGCATCACCATCGCCCCACAAACAATGTCAAGCACCAGAGCCCCAGAAAGAGCCCTAGAAAGAGACAACACATACCTGCCAATGAATACGTCACAAACTATCTTGGCTTAGGTGCACAAGATGACCCAGCCGCCAAACGGTCAACGCAATCGCAGTCTTCATCTTCGACTTCTGAAGGTCCTGAGGAATTGAACAATGCATCACTGACAGGGGAAGATAATGAACAAAAGTATGATGAGGTGCTGCATTTTCTTATGAGCCTTGCACCGGCCATGAGGCGACTTCCAACTAAAAAACAATCTCTGGCAAGAATTAAGATCCAAACTGTCTTACATGAGCTCGAATTTAGTGAAAACTGAAAGTATCAACATTTTACAGACATTATTGAGCACAGATATCTTGCAAGTGAACACAATGTTGCACTTAAATCTATCGCATAAGTTCTTTCACATCTCAATTACAATTTCCCACTGCCCTGCCTCATACCTGATTTCTTCAAAGATAGCGAAACCGTGACAACTTGAGGGGACCCTCCCCTTGGCTACAATAGTGCTGGTTCTAGAGAAGACTGCATACTTGAATGAAGAAAAGTTTAGTCTGAAGGATTACATTCCAGTTACCAAGATAAGAAGAAAATGTACCGTGATGGTTCATGGTAGGAGGAGACACCAGCCTGCCGTTCTCTCCCCAGTCTAGCTTCATAGTGAGATAGACAGTTCCCCAAGATTCCTGGATATTGCTAGGTTGCAGAATCTACAATCCACTGTGTAGCCAAGCATCCAAATTAGCAGGTCATTAGGGCTTATCAAGTCACTTGAGCAGGTAAATCCATCCCCCAGTCATTAATCTACTTTAGTTATGCATTCCTTTTTAATTTGTTTTCATTATTTTATATTGATCATTTCAATTTTTTCTTCTTATTTCATTTCAAATTTTTATTTTGAAATCACCAATCCAAATGAGTTTTGAATGGATCATTCACTTTTATTATGAGTTTCTATTGATCATTTTAACCTTGTGTTCAATTGCTTCATTTTGAATTTTTATTTGGATTATTATCAGTATCTGAAATGATCTTATTTTATTAATTGTTTTGATTGTGTTTTGTTTTGTTATGTTAGAATGTTCTTGTTCACTAACTTGTTCAAAAATTGTTTGTTACAATGATGGAATAAACTGGGAAAATAAATTGAAAGATGATTTTAAAAAGTGATTTTGAACCATACATAGGATTATACAATTGAATAAGAAGGTGCAATTTTTTAAAGTAAGTAATATTTTTTTAAACTTAATACAATTATGTGATAAAACTTTAAAAAATTGTGAGATTATTTTCACCATACACAGCATAAAAGAAACAATCAGGTGCATTTTTTTTGTTGTAATGAAGTCTTTTAGGAAGCTATATTTTCATATTTACTTCCATGGTTACCAAGTAATTACGATGCTATGTGTGTGTGAAATAACACACACAAAAAATTATCAATCACCTTGAGCAATATGACCTACAGAAAAAAGACACTGCACAAGATATTCCACATTTACAAAATAATAAGTTAGACCAAGCTCTCATGGGGAGTAAATTGGATTTGCAAGTGTTAGCAAGTGCCAGGGACTCAGGGAGTGTATACTGCTGGTAAGTGGCTATTGTGCAAATCATTTGTTAAGATGCAGATGGGCGTTAATTTATGTCATTTTACACAGACTTAATGCCCTTCTGGCGACAAACGGACAAAATGTTCCCAAACAAGAGAAAGGAGGAACAACGAGGTGTAGCAAGTAGAGTTGCAATCACGTTTACAGGTCTCTTTTGAGAGTTCTGGGAGCATCTCCAACACCCTCCCCCCCCCCCCCCCCCCCATCTTGAACTTACTGAACAATTTAATAGCTACTTCAATGTTTCTGATTGGAAAATAGCTAGGTACTCCATACTACCCTTGTTCAAATTTTGAGTTTTCTTTATGACATTTAGATAGATGCCTTTTGTAGTCAATAAAATAACATGGTCATTTTAAAGGCATTGTTTAACAATGCTTCCAGTTTTATAAATTGAGATGCATGGCCCTATGTGTTATCAGTGTCTTTGATATGGTATAATATTAAAGCCCTAAACAAATCATGCTTCAAACTGATCATGAAGTGCTTCAAAACGGTACAAATCTGTGAGTGACCGGTTTTACCATACTCTTTTTCCTCATTAGACAAACGGTTTTTGAAATTTCCAATTCCAATCAAAAATATCTTGATAATCAGACGGGCGATCGGCTTGATTTCTGACTGACCTAAAGGTTTATAACTATGATTGCAGCAGGAGCTAAATCCAGGATTTTTTTTAAGAATCTGAGGCAAAGATACCCAATCCCTTTAAGGTTACTCATTCATGTACACCTTTCCACTCCCCAAAGTATTTACATCTGCGTCTTTTGTTAAGAAAGTTTATCAGTGCAAAGTTACAAACTTTATGCTTTATTTCATTTTGATATGTGATGTCAACAGTTCATGCCACAATAAACTAAACTATTACAAAAATCAAGTGGATTCCTGATGAAGATTGTTAATATGTTGTGGATATGATAAATCTTGTTTGTTTTACTACCAATATATTATATATCAAGAATATTTATAAAATGTATCACCTTTCCGAATTCCCATTTCCCAAGTACATTATTTAGAATTGATGAGATAGCATTTTAAGCATAGAACAGTTTTGGAAACGCCCCCCTCTCAAAAAATAAAATGAAAGCTCATAATTATCAATCATGTGAAATAATATGTTTTGACTAATACGGGATGATTCAAATTTTGCCGGGAAAGCGCCTACTAATTGATGGTAAATTATCATATCTATCTGGCATGGATAGATATCGCGTAGTCCCACATCTTTCTGTGTACAGTGCTTGTAACTTTTCCAATACTGGGCCAAATTTCTTATCATTTTGATACTTATATGCTAGATGATCAACCTTTTCTAATTGATTCCACAACGTTTCTTTCACAATGCAATCGCATGACCAGAACTGGTCTTTACCTTTAAAACAATTGATATGGTGATGATGCTATGTTGATATGGTGATGATGCTATGAGTAAAAGCGATGGGTCTGTAGCCTTGAAAGTGGAAGATTCTGGGTTTCAAATCAATCCAGCATTTTTGCTAAATTTTTATTGATATTGTTACATATATCAAAATATCAAAAGTATAAATGGATATAATAGCACTAAATAGCTAGTTCTTTACCCATGTTACTTTTATTTATTTTTTTAATCATTCAACAGTGAATGTTTTTAACATCAAAGTCGAACATAACCCTTGATTATGATCCCAGCTGGTATTGTGATGATAATAATAATAATACCGGTAGGCATTTATAAAGCGCCGTCTATCTAGACAATTCTATTCCGAGCCACACAAATTAATTATTATCCCGACTTTAGCCTATAGCTGCCATTACAGCGCTCTAGCATTTCAAGGAATTAATTCCTGCCAGGTACCCATTTACCTCACCTGGGTCGAGTGTGGCAAATGTAGATTAGTTATGTACTTAAAGATAAAGACCAGTTATGGTCATGCGATTGCATTGTGAAAGAAACGTTGTGAAAGAAACGTTGTGGAATCGATCAGAAAAGGTTGATCATCTAGCATATAAGTATTGGTGTGTACTGCAAGGTTCTGGAATCCTCAAAATGATAAGAAATTTGGCCCAGTCTTCGTAAAGTTACAAGCACTGTACACAGAAAGATGTATATGGGACTATGCACACATGCATGACACATGCGTTTATCTCTCATAAACCAATAGATAAACTAATTTACCAAATATATCAATTAGTAGGCGGTTTCCCTGCCAATTTTTTATTATCATGTATTAGTCAAAACATATTCTTTCACATGATTGGTAATAAGAGCTTCCATTTTATTTTTTTGAAATTGGGCGTTTCCAATACTGGTCTTTACCTTTAATGTAATATATTCGTAATAACAAACATGGGGGTAATTTAGAAATTTGACAGAACGGTATGAGTCAAATGTTTTCATATTTAGTTAAAATAATGGCACTAAAGAAAAGAATTTAGTGATGTCATTTTATGATAAATTTTGCACTAACTATGATTATGGTAAAGACAATGATATTAATGACATACAAAAAACAATGATGTTGATAAAAATAATGTTAAGATATAGAATATATATAAAATTCTTAATGATAAAGCAAGAAATAAAATCATGGAGACAGAGAGGAAGGAGGAGAGAGAGAGAGAGAAAGGGTGCAGAGAGGGCAGGAGAGGAGAAAGACCTTTAAAGAAAAGTTATAATTACTGATATTAGCTCTTTTTGAAGGGTACTATTCACAGCGCATGTAAAGAAAAATAATAACCACACTCTATTCCTTGTGTTACAGTTGTTCAACAATATGCAAGTAGATGAGGAAAATTATTGAGTAATATTGAATATTTCTTGAATATTTAAGTTCGTGGCCTAAAGAAATGATATTGATATTATTAAGTGGTGCTTATAGCAAGACTCAAGGTTTGATCTACAAAAGAGCATGCAACGCCCTCTTGTGATCATTTTGTTACATTGATTTAAGATTGTAGTTTGGTTCATCTTGAATCTCATGCATTGTACAGGTGAATATCTGAAAGAGCCATCTGAAAAGGGTGGGGTTTTAGGAGGGCAGGTGAGAAAAGGCTCATACGTGTACATGTACAGTGTGTTTGGTGGTTTTATCATATATCCTTTCATAGCTACTATGCTTTGACTCAGTTTCAAGGAAGAAATCAGGTGATACGTTGTGTGTATAATAGACAATGGGTGCCCCCCCCCCACCCCTCCTCCTCCAATTTCAATGGCAATAAATCAATCTTCTATGATTCCTCAAAGGACAAGAAAAATACAATTCAGACTATTTCAACATTTAAAGTCTTTGTTGTGTTGACAGATCCACAGATTGTCTCTTAGTTTTGAATCCCTGTGAAATATTGAAATATGTTACGATTCCCAAAGCCATTGAGTTAGGCAAATGAGCCATTCATTGAAATAACCTAAGAATGGAAGTGTGTACATGATTGTTGTATGGTAGTCTTCGCTAGTAAGACAATCTGTCTAACTATTAGACCAACTCCTGAAAATCTGAAAGTGTCTGACCATGTCGTCTGGAGGATTGGGAAGTTTGAATGTTCCGTAAGCGAATTGAATACAGGTGATGGGGTCTAGTGGATAAGTCTCCATACTGTGAACCACAAGGTACAGTAGTCAAATCCTTTCCGCAGCACTCATGGCCTTTGGCAAAACGTTGGCACTAATCTACTTTTGCCACCCTCGACCCAGGCATAGTAACTAGGTACCTGCATGTGTTGGCTAGCATTTCACAGCTCAGTCAATGGTTTACGGTATGAGGGCCCTGTCTTCGCTTACAGTCTACAGAAAGAAGTAAAAAATACAGGATGATAATGATCAGTAGGTGTCATTCCTGGAATGCCCCTGATAAAAATTTGACGTAAAATAGACTATCGCGCTATTTAAACATCATGACTCCTTTTGAAATAAATTTGAATTATAGAAAGCGGTACATGCGTTGATAATAGTCTGGGACTAAACTTCTATGGGAGAAAGGTGGAGGGGAAATGGAGGGCAGCTAGTAGATGACATGAAAGTGGGATAAAAAGGATGAGTAAGATAGAGAAGATAAATGAATAGAAAAAAAGAGGTTGCATCCAAAAAGGGTCATAGATTAAGGAGAACATCTATGCACATGCATCACACCCCTGAATGAAGAAGCCCCCAGACACAGGGTCATTCACGCCCGAGCAACGATCCGCCGTGCAGATACACTTCAGCACATTCATTTCCGTGTCGCATCTACGTGAGTGGACAGATGCATTTTTATGACTATACAATCTAATATTACTCCCGGGTTCAGATGTCTGTGCTCTCCTTTCCTGGTTTAAGATCCCATAATGAAAGACAAATACTTCTGAAGATAAAAGAGAAAGTAAGGATGAGAAAGAGCGAGAGATGTTGAGGGAGATTGCCGATGAAGAAAAAAAAAATCAATCTGATTGATTGACTTGAACTTGGGAGTCCTGGAGAGCTCTTCCTTAATGTAACGTCTCCAATCGTCTGTCATTCACGCTTGAGTGATTATCTGCACATCACTCGTTAAACATTTTCTCTCTTTCTCTTCATGTAGTTGGCTCCAATCATGTGAGAGACTGATTTTTCCGTATTTTTTCCCTCTCTCTCTCTCTCTCTCTCTCTCTCACTCTCTTTCCCCTCTCTCTCTTTCTCTCTCTCTCACACACTCACACTCTCTTTCTCTCTCTCTCTCTCTCTCTCTCTCTCACTCTCTTTCCCCGCTCTCTCTTTCTCTCTCTCTCTCTCTCTCTCACACACTCACTCTCTTTCTCTCTCTCTCTCTCTCTCTCTCCACCCACTCTCTCTCTCTTTCTTCTTCCCTATCTCTTTTGCAGAGATCTATATTCTGAAGGGCACCTTGAATCAATGCCATACAGAGGCAGAAGGAGGAAGGCCATTGATGAGAGAAGATGGTTTTGAAAGACTGGGATGAAAAGAAATAATATAGGAGGGATGGTTAATAGAGATTGAGAGATCGGATAATGATAAGGTGGGTTGCTTTGCAGGAGGAATAATATGTGAGGGCGGGATTAGGGGAGGGGTCCAAGGAGGTGGATTAAAAGAAATGTCTGATTGAAACACAAGTGAAGTGATATGGATATGATGATCTAATGTTACTATTTTAAGGTTTTTGCAGAAAAGAGAAATTAAGATAAAAGCATGGCAAATATTTTCCTTCTTTTTTCCTTCCCTTTATAAAGTACCATTAGTTTGTGT